TTTTTTTCATCAGCAAAGTGGCCCTAATACGCCGTCGTATATGACAGAACTTGATCAACTAGTTAATGGTTAATCTTAATTTCATTTTACAACCATACATTTGACTGTAACTTAGGTGGACCCTCCAAAAACTATTGCTCCTGTAAAAAAATTCCTGTTTGATGACACCCCCCACCCCCCAATAGTGAGATGGGATTTTCGCCCTTGTTTTAATCATCTAACCTATGGGCCGCGGCCCAATTRTGGACCGCGAGCGCCACCTTGAGGGCCTCAAAAGAACAACAGTTTTTAAACTTTGGGCCGCAGAGGGCCGTGGAACCGCATTGATTTTGAATAAGGTGCAATACACTTTCTCACCACTAGCAGCAGTAGTGCGCCACTCAGATGTTTAACTACTTTTTTATTATGTAGAAGAAGAACCTTAGAAACCTGCCGAAAATGGAAACCTTTTTAAAATGAAAAGTTGAAGGTAAAAATGAAGGCAACCCAGTGTACTTAAAATACACTTACTTGTAAGTGTGTTTAATTTAGTTACAATGTAATTACAATAAAAATTAAACCAAGCTTTAGAATAATTATCATTTTGATCTGTACATTGGTAATGTCTGACTGGGCCTCGTGCCACTTTATGTTCAATAAATTTGGCCCTGAGGTCAAAAAGGTTAAGAACCTCTGACGCAGCCACAACCAACCCGTACAGCAGAGCGCTTTCGCGTTTGATATTTATGGTTAGTGCGGGCTTCCGTAGTTCTCCTTTTAGGAATGGCGTCGTGGATGTGGCTCCGGTGTCTCGTTGGGCCTCATCTTCAACGAATTCACCGACTTCCGGACGAGTCTCAGCCCGGGGGCAGGTCGGGCAGAAGGGTAGGAGTAGAAAGATTATTTTAAAGTCGTTTTAGAAGCGAAGTGTTTATAAATTGTGTTCGGTTTTGTCGCTGTTCAGGTGTTTGTTATTGAAACCTTTGCTGTCATCWTCATCATCACACTCACTGCTGAATCCGGAAAAGACAGTTCCTAATGAATGAATGACAAACATGCGAAAATTAACTTTAATTTGTCGTTTTTGATTGTTTTATTTTTGGTTTCAGCTTCGCAGTTAGAATCAGATCATGGAGCTTACTGACACTGACCGTGACCCTGTTTCTTATAACTGTCAGTTAGCTTAGATGGGGAAGGAAATGAAATAAAAGGTTAAAAGTAAGAAAAACTTGTCAACTATAAGAACATGCATGACAATAAGTAGAAGTACTGTTCRATGGAAAACGACGAGAAGGACTGTTTGTGTGAATATCTGTTTAATTAAACGTCAATGCTAACAGCTAAGCTAATGGAGAGAAGAAGTCTTTATGTGYAATCTTTACTTTCTCTTTAACAGGGATGGAACTACCATCCCAGGAGTCTGGAAAAACACACTGACAGCATTCTTGGTTGGGTCAGTATCACATACTGTTTAACTTGGCACATGATAAAGATATTTTATTATATTTTTTTATCTTAAAGTAACGTTTTGTCATTTCAGGCTTCAGTCCTGTGGTCTCTGTCCTACTACAGCTCCCCTCTTCTCCTCTGTTATCTTTACAGAAAAGGTTGGTTTTATGCTATTTATAGTTAGTGGGGAAAAGTTAACATGCATGTGCTTCATCTGAAATCTGTATAATGTAAATAGCATAAACATTCATGGACAATATTTTTACTTTCACTTCATGTTTACAGTTTCATATGCAGTATTTTTTATTCTCAAATGCAATCCACTTACTAGAATATTTCCTAAGTGCTATATACAGTGCTGCTAATTTGTATAAATCTATTTCTTGTCCTAAATATAATAGTGTTAAGCATTTTTTATAGCTTGGTGTAGATATAATTATTGTTTTTATAGATTCTGTCAAGTGTATACTTTGACTGCTGAACCCTGGACAAGAAATCAAGACTGAATATCTTGTTATTAAAACTAATGAAGGAACTAAATTAACATTGTTTCAAATATGAGACAAAATAATGATTGATGAACTGAAAAATCAGTCAACTCACCCATGAAGAGACAACATTTGCAGCTATTTGCTGTTATTTTTATTGTCATTTTAATGTTTGCATCACTTAAAACATCACTGTTGTGTCATTAGTTTTAAATTGATTTATGAGAAGGCTAATTTGCCTGTTGAAAGAGAAATAGACTTAATAGAAAACTGAAGGACTTATTTAAGTTTTGGGACTGATATTTTTACGTTTTAAAGAACATACAAATACGGATCATGATTTAAGTCTTTGGTCCTGCTTTTCCTGTTTTCTGGTTTGTAGGGATGTAAGAAAATATTGATACAATRAAATATCACAATATTTAATTTCCTGTTACTGTATCGATTCTGAAAAGTACTGTATTGATTTTTAATTGTGGCTTAATAGATGATTAAATACAGTTCTCACTGTTAAGTGTTCTTACTTCACAAAAATAAACAGAATTTAATCAAATTTGATGGGAGTAATGCAGTGAACTTTTTAAAATTGGGATCATTTGGAGAAAAAAATGGCAATCATACTATTATCATTAAAAATTACATTCTTTTAGACTGGATGAAGTTTCAACTAGCATGTAGTAAGGATGGGCAATATTGGCAAAACAATTAATCATGATGAATTGTGGTATTTAGCCGATAACGATTAATTTGACGATTAATCCCCTGGAGTCCCTGGACACTCTTAAGTCCTGGTCACATGACCAATTTAGTGGGAAAGATTTGCTCTTTGGAAAAATCTGTTCCAAATTGTGTCAAATTTGCAGACTTCAAGCTATACATCAAATTTTAAATTGTGTTGATAGATAGATAAATTACAGAACTTTTTTTAAAATATTTGTCAAATTTGAAGCAAAGAGGAGCACCGAGCGGACTCACCTGGTGGCATAAATCGTCAAGTGCCAAAAAATAATCGATTGATGTTTTTTTTTACATTTAATTGCACATGAAACAATTATGCCCAACCCTAGTATGTAGTCCTAATTAAATATCAGGTTAGGTTTATGTTCTGTTAGAAGTGTAATAGAATGGGCTTGTTATCAGATGGGAGTTTAAAAGAAACAGTTGTATTGGTGTTATTGATCTGTTATTTGCTCTTGGAAAAAGAGCTATTTAAATAATGTTTTCCTTATAKTGTTCGTATTGACTTTATACTCTGACTTTAGAAGCTTGGTAAAAACCCAGAATTAACCCTGTTGTTAAAAAATATATACTTTTTCTGAATACCAGTCCTCCCATAAGTACTGCRGTCTAATTGGTGCATCCTTGCAAATTGATGTTTCTCCTATGAATTCAGTTGATATGAAATTGTCCAACTGATTCATCCAGCAAGGTTGAGCATCTGTTGGAAATAATTACTCAAGGTTGTGTGTCCCTCCTTAATGTATGACTGAGTTTCTAAAATTGATTTACGCTCACGGCTGCAGGCTAGTTGTCAGAGCGTTCATCTTTTTATCGGCGCCTGTTATTTAGCCTTGGGTTTGATTGTGTTTATTTGCTCGTCTTCAGGCTACATCTGCAGCAGTAAGTTGATTCCGGCGGGTCAGTACGTGGGAACCGTGCTCGTGTGTCTTCTTGGAGTTGCGTGTCTCAGAGGTGAGGCTACCGATACTGAACCTACCACGAGGCAGTACCTAATATAGAATATTCATCTTCATATATTCCACTATAAGCTGCCTGTTCTGCACACCAATAAGRCTCAGTTATAGCAGAGAGTGCTGCACACAGTCAATGCCCACGAAGCACAGTGAACACTCTCTAAAGGCTTTGCAGCAAAATGTTTGTCTCACCTGAACTCCACTAATCTCTATTTGTCTTTTCTTCCCTCCTGCTTCCTTTCCCTCTCTCTGCATCCCCMCTCAAGGGTGGGGGAGGTGGAGGAACTCTGAGTATGTTCAATTTATCTCAGTTCTTGAGGAAACTAAGAGGAACAACACACCAGAAAACAAGGTGAGACCMTTCTGAATTTAAGAACGTGTTTATAAACCCTAGTGTCTTAAACTCTAAGGAGAAATTATAAAAAYTGTGCTTTTTTGTTTTAGAAAAAACTAAGGGGCTATGATTTTGACTTCTCATACTGGCCTGCAGACTTCAGCTGGAAAGAAGTCAGCAGTCCGTAAGTTCTTTTTCTGATTTTGTTAAAGGTGACCCCAAATTCAGTCCCTTTTCCCCCAAACTGTCAGCTTATTAAGATAAGATAAGATAAGATAAAACTTTATTGATCCCACAGTGGGTAAATTTGCACATTACTGCAGCTCAATACAGGAGAGGGTGAGATAGAATAAAGAAAGATAAAAAAACCCACAATATACACATGTGATATATAATAATGTGCATATACAGTACCTATACACATATACATAAACACATATGCATATACATTTATATACATGTAAACCGTATAGTACAGTAAATGCATGAATGTATATGAAGGTGCGTATTAGTGATGGCAGTGTAGGTGAATTGTCCAAATGACTGATAACATCCTGATGTTATTATTATATTTCATGTCTTTAAATGACTTAGTGCGTACACCTAATTGATGTAGGTGCATTTAATGTATGTATAGCAGTTTTATTGTTTGTTTTTGACTGTTTGTTTGGAAGGAAACTGTCCAAAGGTGGTGTTTCTCTGCTGAAACCAGAGCCCAAACTGAGAGGAACAGCAGAYAGTATTCTGAACACTGTGCGCACTTTACCATGTCACGTCATTGGGTAAATATAAAAATACATATCAACACAAGTTTGATCAGGTTATAGATCACACTTAATAAGTCTGCTTTAGAAACARGCTTCTATTTTTACATTCTTGTTTGTTTTTGGGGGTTTTTTAAGTTCTCTGATTGCTCACTCGTTTGGGAGGAGGATGTTGTACCCGGGTTCTGTGGGTTTGCTACAGAAAGCCATGAGACCAATGCTGCAGCAAGGCCAGGCTAAGTTAATAGAAGAGGTAAAAGAAGCAGCATCCTTGCTCACACTTAACTCTTAAATAAATCAAACACTGGTCAAGCTGGACCCTCCCTCCTTCACTCTGTCACAGTTTAATGGTCAAAGGAACAAGCTGGTGGCCTGCGACGGTAATGAGATCGACACGATGTTTGTGGATCGAAGGAAAGATGGGGCACCGAATGGCCAGACTCTGGTAAATGTCAGCGGTGATTTGTTGTTTTTTCTGCCCTGGGCTCGTTCCGGGGTCCAACAAAACTCCTGTCACATTTCAGATGGTTCTTAAAATCTGCCACAGGTCATCTGCTGTGAGGGCAACGCAGGCTTTTATGAGGTGGGCTGCATGAACACTCCGTTGGAGGGTGAGGAATGCTCTATTTTAAAACAATTTAAAAAATTGTTTTGGTCACATTTAAAAGCACAAAATTCTATAAATTCTCAGATTCATGTAAAGTTACATTTTTGATTGTGTTCTGCAGGCGGCTACTCTGTTTTGGGCTGGAACCACCCCGGCTTCGGAGGCAGCACGGTAAGCAGAAAAGCCTATTTATTATTATTATTTGATATAAGAGTCAACTTTCATTGTATTTGGCCTGTGCCTCATWGAGTCCAAACAAGCAGGGAAGTGTAAAAATCCAGTATGTGGAAAATCTGGTTTCAATCTGACATTACTGCACAACACACACACGACTGATTAAAATTAGAGCGGCTGTTGTTAAAGGTGTCATATGTTGATGAGGTTATTTATTTAGTCTTGGATCATGGAAATTTTTCAGTTTTCCTTAAAATCGTTTTCTTCCAGGGAGTGCCGTTTCCCCAGAATGAGGCGAACGCCATGGACGTGGTGATCCAGTTTGCAATACACAAACTTGGTTTCCAGCTGAACAATATCATAATATATGCCTGGTCCATCGGAGGGTTCACGGGTATGTAATAAATCTACACGGTTAGTTTTCTAAGCWTGAGAACAATTCTTACAGTTTCCTTTCTCTTAGCTACTTGGGCAGCGATGTCGTACCCTGAGATCCAAGCGGTCGTGTTGGACGCCTCCTTCGATGACCTCCTGCCTCTGGCTCTTAAAGTTATGCCTGAAAGTTGGAGTGAGTGTTCAGAATCGCAGCTTTGTTTATCAGAACGTTTTGTTTCAATATTTCAAGCATCTTTTTGTTTCGTGTGCAGAGCCTTTGGTCCAACACACAGTGAGACAATACATGAACCTGAACAACGCCGAGCAGCTCCTCAAGTGAGTGGAACGGTTTTAATAAGGAGGCAAAGAAAAGTGAGAATCATTTATGGTTCCACATGGTCGACAAAAGTGGAACTGTTGWTTTGTTTTTGTTCATGTTGATTATGTGAATTCATTATGAAAGCTTTTTTCAGATACCAGGGACCGATCCTGCTGATCAGGAGGACCAGAGATGAAATCATCACCACAACGTGAGTCTCCACTGCTCAAACTAAAATACATGAAATTATTTTTAAGATATTCTAGATTAAATGGTGTCTCTGGTTCTAACAAACGCCTTAAATATTTTCATTCGCTATTTTAGCCATGTGAGCTGAGTTTACTTCTTCTGATCAGGGTTGTTGTCGTACCTACGAAAAAAAAAACTAAGTATAAAATGTCTTTCAACTCTTCAATATCACCCTTTTCCCCTTCAATTAAGGTTATTTCTACCTGCAGAAACCAGACATGAGCCTTTTAAGACCGTAGTTTACAGACTAGTGACCAGTTTAATCTTCTGCATAAAAGCAAACTATTAATGCTTCCTCTTATTTTGTTAGTTTGAGTTATGAGATGTTTAAGTGATGTGTGAAACAACACGATGTCTTAAGCTGAAAATGGAAAAGAAAATCTACCGGAAGCCTCTTTTGGATCTATGCGTACTGTAATGCTAACAGAAGTACAACTCCTGTGGTTATTTTTATGGAAAGTGTACAACTCTGCATGTTAGTACTTCTATTCTGAATAAAAGCCTGGTGCATGTAAACACTCATGATCAAATTAATTCATTTTGTGCCTGTATTTATTATTATTATATTTCATATTATAGTCACTTCAAGATAGAATTAACCCTAAATATTCTTTTTATGTGTTCTCTCCAAGTTAATCGGTCTTTCTAGAAGGGAGGTTCATCTCGTTACTTTAGTGCTGTGCTTAAGTATGAGTAATTGTTCATTTATTTCCACAGCTAATCTGATCATTTCAAGTTGTCTCTGTTTAGTTTTTGTTTTCTACAAAGATTTTAAAAAATGAAACACGACTTGCGCTTTACCTTTTTTCCCTGATCTCTGAATAATGTTTCCAATCAAGACGGCCTCTTCCTGAATCTCTGAACACAATTTTTCCAATCCTGCCAGCAGCATGGTTTAAATTGAGGTCATGTGGCGTGCGTGGCACTAATTCTGGATGTATTGCAGGGGTCCAGAGGACGTCACGTCAAACAGAGGGAACAACCTCCTGCTCAAACTGCTTCAGTTCAGGTCAGTTTGTTTTTTCTGTTTCACTTTTCTCACTACAGAGGTGTTTGGACTCTTTTTAGAAACAGGTGCATTTCTTCTCATCAGGTATCCCAAAATAATGACCGATGAAGGGATCAGAGTTGTCAAACAGTGGCTTGGTGCCTCCAGCCCATTAGAAGAAGGTGGGTGGAGCTGTGTGCGTGTAACATTTTATTTTTAAGACATATTTAATGAAACCTTTATAAATTGTGTGTACTCGCAGCATCTGTGTACAGCAGCTACGAAGTGGACAATGACTGGTGCGTGTCTGTGCTGCAGTCTTACCAGGCAGACAGAGACGTCTCGTTTCCATGGAGCGTTGGTAAGCCCCGCCCACTCCKCCACATTCACAAGAACCAATTAACTACGAAGCACGATCCGCCGACATGTACGATGTGCTTACGCAGTCTGATAATGTCACCAGGTGAAGACATGACTGTGGAGGGAAGGCGGCAGCTGGCTCTTTTCCTGGTAAGGAATTAAAACTATTATCTGTTGTTCCTGTCTAGTTATCAGGGCAGGTGCTTCTCGTCTTTATCTGATCCCAAGTTGGATTTCTGCACCATCTATTCCTCTGTTTCACCTTGATGATCTTATCTTTTTTTTTTCTCCAGTAAACCATTTTTTTTCTTAAACTGATTCACACTGCCACCCTTTTTTTTTGCACTCCAAAAACAACAAAGAAAAAAAAATCCCACCTCTTCAGAACTCATTACCACTAAGGAACTGTTCTTGTCGCCATAGTAACCCGCTCACCTGTGCTCTCAGGTTGACTGGTGTAATATATTTCACCACGTTCAGCTTATTGAAGTCATTTAACATCAAACAAGAGGAGTGCCATCAATTACAGCTAATGCTATGCTTCCCCTCCCCTGGTGATGCTGCCTAAATTAGGCTTTATTCACCTCCCGTGTAAAGCCTTAAGAGATGGGAGGGATGTGTACGGCGCTGGGCCAGATAGAATACAATCAGGCTCTGCACTTTTTGTTCAGCAGCCCTCCCACACATCTAATTCTCCATTCCTCCTCCACCTCCCCTTATTTTTTTATTTTCTCTCTCTCCATCTTCTCTTTCTCCAAGGCTCGGAAGTACATGAGAAACTTTGAATCGACGCACTGCACTCCTCTCCCTGCCACCGAGTTCCACTCACCTTGGAGGCTGTGAAGAAAAATAATTTTAAAAAAGGATCGTTGGAGGGAGAAGCAGAGCCGGACGGCCTTTGGTCAGTTTGTTCTTGGCGTCGTGTGAATGTACCGTTTTATTTTGTTCCTACACACAGCCCAAAAAAAACTGTGTAAAATATGATACACGTGTCCTTTTTAAGACTCACTCTTTAGTTCTGTTTTTTTGTTTCTCATTTTAAAAAGGATTGCATTTTAAATAAATGCACAAAGCCATTACTCACTCCTCCCATTGTTCCCTCTCTGGCTGGATTTGTAAAGCAAATGTAAGCAGAGATACATTGCTATAATTAAATGAATAAAAAATATAATCCTGAAGTCGTTTTAAAAAAGGCAGCCAAAGTGTTKAAGCTGTTCAGGTTTTTCCTTTTGTGGGCGCACTCTTGTCGAATTAATCCTAAAATGATGCTCTTAAGTGTTCCATTAAATATGCTGAATAACATTTTGAGATGATGGATTTCTTTTTTTTTCATCACACAAGTATTTGTCTAACTACAGAGATAAAAGAGACTGATTAATAGTATATCACTGAATCACATTAACTGTTKTAAGTGCTTTATTGAAGCTTTCATCCTACAGTCAAGTTGAAAATGAATAATAACATGAAAAAATGGGAGTAAATTCTGATTTACATTAATGTCAAATAGTCGTCACCGTCTTCACATCATTTTCCTGAAGTTTTCTATGGCTTCTTTWACTTTGTCAAGTTCAGTTTGGCTCTGTCGTAGCTGCAGAGGGGAAAGAGAGAAGAAGAAAAAGTATTATTTACCTGAATTTGAGATGTCTCACATCTGCAGAAACCCAGTGAGTCAATTTCTTTTTCTCACCTTCTCTGCATCCTGCTCCTGCACCTTTACCGGCACCTTCTCCCTGTAGTCACTCTTAGCCATCTTTTCTCTCAGCTTCTCCATCTGTTTCTCCAAGTCGCCTTTCTTTGCCATCAGCTTAGTCACTTCCTTCTCAACATCAATGAGACCCTGGGAGGTAGGTGAAGAGGACAGCAGTCAAAACAGATCACGTCTGGAGAGAAGAAACTGATAGAAGAGTCCATCTATTTTCAGAGCAGCTAATTTAAACCCATCTCTGCTGATGACCAGATTAGTGATGTGTGTTTATGCTTTAAGGGGTTTTGTTGATGCAACTTGTAAACGCTCAAATGAAGCATTTAGCTGAGAGGAAAATATTGTGAACGAGACTAATATTCATGAGAGCCGCCACATCGAACAGAGGATGAAGACAACATAAACTGGGATGTGGAGAAATATTGATATGTTTGGTTAAAACATTACCAACATTTGCATTTTGTTGAAATATAATACTTTACACAACATTAAAATGAAATATCTTAAATAATTTTTAAAGTCTTTTTTGAGCAGAAAAGTCTCAAAATTTTGTAATTCTCCCTGCAAGACAGCAATGTGTTTTTCTTTTCCAGCTGGAAAATCTTAACATCCAAATATTGTTTTAGGTTTCCTCTTTAAAATGACAAATTCCTCAGAATAACCTAAAAATAGGACCAATCAAAGCATCTCTCTGGAACTGATCTTGATAACGGGATAATCAAAATGTAGCTTTAAAAGCAGGAATCTGAAAATGTGAAAAGTCATTTCCATCAAATTCGACTTAATCCTCAGTTTGATGTGAGTCACGCATCACAAATGTAACATGAAACCTGGATGAAACCAAACTCACTTTCAAATGTTAGGCTGAGAAGGGAGCCGTTTTTCTCAAACCTTGAAAATAGCTTGGGCAAAAATCATTTCATGTTCAGAGTGTTGTGAATGACTCAGCTTCTAGCACACCGAATTGTAGCCCAATATCTGTAAAATTGGTTGAATTTTAGCCAATTCTGTTTTTTTTTTTTATGTCAGTTGGCTGTGGTGGCCATCTCGATTTGGACTGGCTCCAAAAGTTACTAAGTTATTAACATACATCCATTGTTTGTTTTTTTTACTTGTTTTTGAATGTTTTATAAAAATCCATCCACTTGTTAATGAGACATTTTGCTAATGCAAAAGACAAATATGAGGCAAAGACATTATCGCCTCTTYGCCTTCAGCACTGGGCGATGACGAGACCGATGACTGGTTTTGTACCTTGAGCATGAGGTTGACGGTACATCTGTCAGAGGCTATAGCCACAGCGCAGCCTTCTGGGACCATCTGATTGGCTGTCAGAGGGATGACGGCCTGACAATAGGACAAGGTCTGAATCTGCAGAGTGTATTTCTGCACCAGAGACACAGTCGCAGCGTCTGAGCACTGAAGGTAACCTGGGAGAGAAAAATACAAAATGTCAGACATCAGAACTGTTACTGTTTTAACGCTCCTGCTGCATTTGGGTCAAACTGACACACAAGCAGTAGGAGAGCTAAATGCTTTGATTAYTCAATGCTTTTAGGAGGCAGATTTTTTAAAAGGAGACATATGCTTTTAAATCCTTTTTCACATTTAAATCAGTTGGGGTCTGAACTACAATGTTTTGGTCTGAATTCCTCCATATTGTAACTCCACAAGCCCCTCTTTCACCCCTTTTCTGTGGGGTGTCACAGATCAACTCATTTTGAGGCTGTCTCTTTAAATCTAAACAAGATGCCTCACATCCCACCCCCCTCCAGCTTCCAGAATGCTCCATTCTAGTTTGATCAAGAGGTTTACCACTATATAGCAGCATAGAAACTTTTACTTACAAATTATGTAAAAGATGTCAACACATAATCCTAACATACCAGACACATGCACCAAATATTAAGAAGGAAAAGGAACACCATCTCATTGTATCTGGGAATGCAGGAAAATTACAATGTTTTGGAAAAAAACCAACCTATAGAACATAAAGGACTTTGCATTTGATTTTTTTTCTGTACCCTAAAAATACTTTGTTTACCAAACGTGAGCAATTATCAATGCATTTGCTACAAGCTGAAAGACTGATCTAACTTTTCTGGAAGGATACAACAACAGCAAGTAACAAACAATGGGTCAAACAAATGCTGCCGACTTTACCCTTGGAACGTTTAACATAACTCAAAAACGGAAAATCGAATTAATTAAAAGCATGGAGACACTTCATGACGCTTRTGGAAGGTATGGCCCTGACTCAAGAGGAAGGAGTCATCCAAGGACAAAAAGGTCCAGATCAAAGGTTCAGGAGGCRAAGGAAAGTCTGCACTGAACCATTGTCCCGTTTTTGTAAAAAAAAAAAATTAATTAAAAAAGGTATATGTATCTAAAATGGTGCTTAGTGTTCTTTTTTACTGATTATATGGCATGTATTTTGTACCAGAGTGATTTAGTTGCTTAATCCAGACCTTATGGGTAAGTTACTTCACACCTGCTGTTCTGTAAGCCTGTGAAAGACATGGTGAAGAAACCCCTCCCACTTAGAYGCGAGTCATTCGGCCAGTCACAATCAAGACAGACGTTTATCTTGATCAACCACCTTCTTAAACAAGTCGATGGAAAATTGTACSAACTCCAACGTCTCTGGACCCCATTCACCCCCCTGAAAATAAAACTCTTCGGCTCTAGATGATTCACGTAAATGACCTAATTGGTTTTGAAATTGTCTAATTTTGCGGAAAAGCGACAACTTTACAGCTATGTTATTTTAGAAGTTCAAATACTGAGATACTAATGTGATACTACGAATACTGTGAACATCATAGTAAATGGAGAAAACTGAACGGGTTGAAAAATATGACCCAATCAGAATAAAAAGATATTAATTATCTAAGCAATGCAGTTATTTCCCATCTCTGTTTTTCTTTCTTACAGATTCAGTCAAAGCTATTTTTATAATTTCAGAAACTTAAGCAAAAAGATGTTGAAAAAATGTTTAAAAAACTTTGAAATAAAAAAAGATAAAAAAACTAATTTAAATTCCCTTTTTGCCATCTTACAGTCAGCTCTAGTCTTGGTCAGGTTGTAGTCGGCCCTGAGGGATCGGATGGTCTTGACCACGGTCATAATGAACTCCATTTCACGATCAACCTCCTCGTTCTGCCAGGAAAACTAAAAAGATCACCAAAAATAAAGTTTTAAAAAATATTCAGATGAACATTTTCCATAACTTCAACAGSGTCTGATTTGAAGACTTTTGTATTTTACCTCCTTGGTGTCGGGGTAAGCTGTGACACAGATGCTGGGAGGATCGGTGAGAGGCTGTCGTCGTGGTAAACGCTGGTAGAGTTCCTCTGTGACGAAGGGCATCATGGGAGAGAGGAGGCGCAAGCCAACATCTAAACAGGTGTAAAGCGTCTGTCTGCACACCTGGGCTTGTCTCTGGCTGTCTTCTTCTGCTTTAATAAACACTGGTTTCACACTTTCCTGAACAACAGAGAGGTTATTATGACCCACAGAAAGAAATCCTCTAAGAAGACTCGATGGACTCGAACTGGTCGGCGTCTCTTACCAGGTAGACGTCACAGAGCTCGTACAGCCAGAAGTTGTAGATGGAGGTGGTGATGGATGGAAAGTCGTAGGCCTTGAAGGCGGCGTCGCAGAGGGAAACCGCAGCACTCAGTCTGGACAGGATCCAGCGGTCCGATACGCTCTCCTCTCCACACAGCTGAGGAGACGGAGGGAAAATGAAAACGTTCACATCTGTCAGGCCTAACGTCTCTGCGTGCCCACATCCTGGATGTTTTCACCCGGGGCACCAACACATTGGAGGCATTAAAGAAGGTCAAGTAAAGGCTATTTCCTGAAACTTTTAAGAAAAAAAACAACATCCCACAAAAACCTGCTGGAGTCCTCCTCCTGCAGAACTTTGACTTTCTGCCTTGAAGTCTGGTTTTCCAGCTCCTCGGTGGCACAAAAGAAAATGCTCCAGGAGGTCATAAATAACGCCCAGARGCTCGTAAGTTGCCGTCTACCTCACAGCTGTTAGCTTATTAAATGCTGACAAACAGTAATTAGGGGGTTGTGCAGTAACCCGGGCAAAACAGAAACTGGACCGGATTCATTGGGTGGACCAGTGTTTCTGGTTTTAAACCATTTTAAATGTRTTGTTAAACATTTTCACATTAAAGTGTCTGTGGCATTACATTTTTCTAATTAATTTGAATGCATTTTTTGAAAAGATAACATTGATGGCATATTACAAAAATAATTTCACGTCGTTGAGATATTCACATGTGAAGTAACAGGAAGTGATGTCAAAGGGGAATATTGGCTAACAACAGACTGTAGAGAAGAATCTGATGTTTCTTTAAATTATTTTGAGTCACTTTCAGAAAGAGATGAAGAAGAGTCAGAGGTCAAATAATATTTTAATAAACAAAGACCAATTTTCTTTCTTAAAGAGTTCCCCTTTGATGTCACTTTGTTTCACTTTTGCTGAGTCATGTTCAGAAGAAAACCTGTCAGTTATGTGACAAAATGTGTAAAATTGTGTGTATTAGAAGTGCATAAATTTTTTTAAATGTATCAATTTTCTTTC